ATATCTGTTCTTGTTATGGCTCTCACTTCTTTAGGGTATATACCTAGTAATGGGATGGCTGGGTCAAATGGTATTTGTATTTCCAACTTTTGAAGGAATTGAAGATGGCTAGAATTTGCTGGACAAAGTACCCGAGGAGAGAATTGCACAGAGGTGACTGGAGATCTGCATGAGGTTCCCTCAGGTCTTTGTCTGAGTACTGACTGCACATGCATGTGAGGAAATTCCTTAGGACCTGAGAAAGAACCACAGGAAAGGAGAAAACCAAACAATGTCTAGAACTCACACAGGGTTGTTTTGTTTTGTTTTGTTTTTTTTTCACCACTTCCCAGTGTCCATCCCTCCATACTCTCCTGCCCCCTGAGCTGTCTCCCTGTGCATAAGCAGCCCTTCCTTTTCCCATGATTGTTCTCTCCAGGGCATCACACAGGGTTTTGAATAGTTTGTTTCTGTGAGCCAGAGTACAAAGACTACCTAATGTGCAAGGCATCATATGGAGACCTCAGATGAGTATTGCTTTAATCAGTACCACTGGCCATTGAGTCAATTCTGATTGAAGACAACCTTGTGTGTCAGAGTAGTTGATTTTGACGTAGTGACCCTATGGGACAGAGTAGAACTCCCCCCATAGGGTTTCCAAGAATATAATATTTGGAAGCAGACTGCCATATCTTTCTCCCACGGAGCGGCTGGTGGGTTCAAACCTACGACCTTCGGTTAGCAGCCCAGCACTTAACCACTGCACCACCAGGGCTCATTGTAACCTTAATAGTACCAAATTAGACCTAGATTAAGGCCTGCTCTAGACCCACCCTGACTTACAAAGTTTACAAGCAAACCTCAAAATAATCTAACTGATTCCAAGTAACTACTTCCCAAAACAAAACCCAACAATATTTAAAGGAATGTAACAGAAATCTAGCACCTAGTATAAAATTTGGGAGCTCTGGTAGCGTAGTGCCTAAAGCACTTGACTGCTAACCAGGAGGATGGCAGTTCAAACCCACCAGCCACTCCTCGGAAGAAAGGTTGGGCAATCTACTTTGGTAGTGATAACGCCTCGGAAACCCAAGGAGGGGTCACTGTGAGTCGGTCTGACTCAATGGCACATAACAACAACAACGATGTAAAAGTTACAGTATCTGGTATTCAATAAAAAATAATCAGGCATATAGAACAAATGAATGAACTGAGGTGTTCCTTTTCCTTATGAGAATTGATAGTAGATGACATTATGGGACTTAGCTCATTATATCATTTTCTGTTTTTTTTTCCAGGGCTT